ATACTTGGTTGCAAATCCTTTGCAGTCAATTACAGCCTGAAGTCTAGAACGCATAGACATCAGCAGACGCTGGGTTTCATCCCTGGTGATGCTCTGCCAGGCCTCTACTGCAACTGTCTTCAGTTCCTGCTTGTTCTTGGGGCATTTTCCCTTCAGTTTTGTCTTCAGCAAGTGAAATGCATGCTCAATCGGATTCAGGTCAGGTGATTGACTTGGCCATTGCATAACATTCCACTTCTTTCCCTTAAAGTACTCTTTGGTTGCTTTTGCAGTCTGCTTTGGGTCATTGTCCATCTGCACTGTGAAGCGGCGTCCAATGAGTTGTGAAGCATATGGCTGAATATGAGCAGATAATATTGCCCGAAACACTTCAGAATTCATCCTGCTGCTTTTGTCAGCAGTCAAATCATCAATAAATACAAGAGAACCAGTTCCATTGGCAGCCATACATGTCCACGCCATGACACTACCACCCCCATGCTTCACTGATGAGGTGGTATGCCTAGGATCATGAGCAGTTCCTTTCCTTCTCCATACTCTTCTCTTCCCATCACTCTGGTACAAGTTGACCTTGGTGTTGCTGAGCTCAACGGTGCGTTCCTTCTTTTTAAACAGTTGTTTTGGCCACGCCTAATGTTTTTGCTATCTCTCTGATGGGTTTGTTTTGTTTTTTCAGCCTAATGATGGCTTGCTTCACTGATAGTGACAGCTCTTTGGATCTCATCTTGAGAGTTGACAGCAACAGATTCCAAATGCAAATAGCACACTTGAAATGAACTCTGGACCTTTTATCTGCTCATTGTAATTGGGATAATGAGGGAATAACACACACCTGGCCATGGAACAGCTGAGAAACCAATTATCCCATTACTTTTGGTCCCTTAACAAGTGGGAGGCACATATGCAAACTGGTGTAATTTCTACACCGTTCACCTGATTTGGATGTAAATACCCTCAAATTAAAGCTGACAGTCTGCAGTTAAAGCACATTTTGTTAGTTTCATTTCAAATCCATTATGGTGGTGTATAGAGCCAAAAATGTTAGAATTGTGTCAATGTCCCAATATTTATGGACCTGACTGTATATCGTATCATGATGCTTGACATCATCTAGTGGCCAAATGAGCATTAACTCAATGAAAAACATTCTGCCAGCACAGGCAATAGCCTAACAATATTTGATTGTTTTTTTTCTTTGTTTTTGTTTTGTTTTTGTTTTTTTCGCTCCATTCACACACAATGAATGCACAAGCACTTTCATTGGACAATTTTCAATGCATTCTTATCTAGACCAACAGGCACTGGAAGAACAAGTATACAGTCTGCTGGCGGTGGGGCACTAAACTGTTGTGCCGCTCACGCTCAGATCCAGGGTATTTGTAATTCACAGGGAAATCATAGGGACACATCCTAGGCAGATTATCCAGTCAGTATCACAGTTGCAATAGCAACAAAACAAGTTAATTTCAAATAACATGGATGCCGTGTCGGTCTCAGGTCAGCAGCCTAATCCCCCGGGTCTAGGAGAAAGGTCACACCACACTGTGGTCTTTCCCTCTTAAGCCTGCACCTATATCTGGTGTCCAGTGGGGTCCTTGGGCTCAGCACTGTCTGCAGCCTGGTTCCTTTCACAAGATTTCTTCAGCTCTCTCATTCCTTTGTATAGTCCCTGGCAGCTCAACTCACAGCACAGTCTCTCCAGGCTCTTCCCATCTTGTCTACAGTGTATTGTGTCACATAGGGCTGGGAAAAGGGGTGGGCAGGAGGGGCAGCTGCCCCAAGCACAGAGAAGCAATGGGGCAAAGAATAGATGCAGGATGGTACACCCATTCTATGGCAATTATTAAAAGTGGGGAGGGAAGTGCAATTCTGCAACCTTGCCCTGGGTCCCTGGGACCCTGTCCCGATACTGGTGGCACCTTTCCACTGAGTTCTCTGGTAGCACAGTCTCTCAGTCAGGTTGCACTTCTCTCCCCATTCCTGACTCCCCTTGTGTCTCTCCCCTTTGCCTGACCTTCTGCAGATCTGTTGGTTGAGATTAAAGTTTAGCCAAGGCTGGGGCCAATCAATGTCCGCCTCTTTCAGCGCTTTGTCTCCCTGCCACAGTGTCCAATCCAATGGCGGGAGACAGAAGAGCAAGATAATGTGGAGCCAAGAGTCCCAAGGACTGAGCAGCTCCTGCACTTTAAAGGGGCCCACTAGTCAGGGCTACACTACGTTCAGTTGGAAAAATGTCACCATTTTCCACTTGCTCCAGTTGGACTACAAGCACATTGTGCTGGCACCTTCTGCTGTTACTGCAGTAAAATGATGCTACTTGGAAATGCACATGTCCGTAGGAAGGGCCTATATAATGTGCACAGAGAGAAAAGCCATAGCAAACGGGTACAATCATTTTTATTGATGTATAAAGAAGGCAGAGCAAAGCGAACACAAAGATTTGGTTCCTACACAGCGGAAATGTGCAAATACAACTACGATTGTAACATTTTATGTTTCCAAGATATAATACAACAAAACTGGCCAGTCCAACCAACTGGACTGGGCTAGGGCTAAATGGGGGTTCTAAAAGGTCAAGGCCAAAAACTCTGGGAAGGGGTGATTGTCGGGGAACCGCTGTATTTATAAAATGTATTATTTAAAATCACATTTTTGATCTATGACAGTAGCTGTAGGAATAAGAGCTCATGTACACCACTGCAGCTGATAAACTAATTTTTAGGAGCTGTTCAGTGATTTTTTTATTTTTTTTTCAGCAGCCCCTGAACTCTCCCTAACGTTTTCCTATGTGTCCATGTACACGTCGTCATTTACAGGCAGTTGAGTTTACAGTCATTTTTTGAACGCAGAAAACTTGCATTCAGCAGTAGATTTTATCAGCGTTTCAAACGCAAAACGCTTGTAAACGCGGCTAACTGCGTTTATAGGCGTTTTCAAAATTTTTTTTAACTCTCATTTCCAGATGATGTCCAGAGCCTTTTTTCATCATGAAAAATGCATGCAAAGCATTTTCCCAGTACTCAAACGGACCTAGCATGCCATACTTTGAGGTTTTGCATGAAAAAAAAAATATGTTAGACACTGCTGCAATAATTTCTGCACAGAAATGAGCTGGAACACATCCAAACACCACAAAAACAAAGACAGCTAATCTCAACGAATACTGCTCTCTCTGCTTCTGCTCTCTCTCTATTTCTCTCAAAATGTCTGAAATAGTTATTTTTACTGTTTACTGCATTCTGGGCATTTGGAAGGTCTCCTGAGGTTATCTTTAAAAAACGCTTCTAAACGCAAACGTTCATAAACGCGGTATGCAAATGCAGCTAAACAGACGTTTTTTAACTACATTTTCCAGCAGTCAGTTTCCATCGTTCAGAAGTGTCCCGTGTACATGGGCCTAAGGATCAACACAGCGTGGGTTTATATGATATATCACTGATTATCTTTAACTAGAAACCGACCGCAGATAGCCGAATGACGGCTGCACTGCGGCCGGCCAGTTCTGGGTGGACGTCATATGACGTCCTCCCAGAACGCGCTCTCCTGCGCACCCCAGGGGGCGCGCACCCGGCGATCTCCATGATCGCTGTGTCCTACGGACACAGCTGATCACGTGATGTGGTAAAAGGCCAATCACAGCGGCCTTTTACCATGTGATCAGCGGTGTCCAATGACACGCTGATCAGAGGAAAATGCAAGTGCCGGTTCTCGGCTGCACTTTCCTCACGCTGTCAGATCGTGAGGAAAGTACTGCCGAAAACCGGCAGTTGTCAGAGCGGGGATCGGCACCGATCATCAGGGCACTGATGATCAGTGCCCTGATGATCAGTGCCCAGCAGTGCCGCCCGCATGTTCTACCCACCTGTGCCCAGCAGTGCGCCCACTAGCTCCGCCCACCTGTGCCCAGCAGTGCACACACCTGTGCCCAGCAGTGCACCCACCTGTGCCACTCTGCACTGCCCCCTACCTGTGCCCAGAAGTGCCACCTACCTGTGCCCAGCAGTGCCACCCACCTGTGCCCACCCACCTGTGCCCACCAGTGCCACCCACCTGTGCCCACCCACCAGTGCTGCCCACCAGTGCCGCCCACCAGTGCAGCCCAGCAGTGCTGCCAGTCAGTGCCACCAGTCAGTGCCCAGGGGTTGTGCCAGTCAGTGCCGCCAGTCAGTGCCCAGCAGTGATGCCAGTCAGTGCCGTCTATCAGTACCCATCATCAGTGTCACCTATCAGTGCCGCCTATCAGTGCTGCATATTAGTGCCGCCTATCCGTGGCACCTCGTTAGTGCTGTCTATCAGTGCCGCCTATTCGTGCCACCTCATTAGTACTGCCTATCAGTGCCCTTTAGTGCTGCCTATCAGTGCCCATCAGTGCCGCCTATCAGTGCCCATCAGTGCTGCCTCATCAACGAACATCAGTGAAGGAGAAAAAATACATGTTTGAAAAATTTTATAATAGAAACAAAGAAACTTTTTTTTTTTTTTCACATTTTTTTTATTTTTAGCGCAAAAAGTAAAGCGCCCAGTGACGATTAAATACCAACAAAAGAAAGCTCTATTTGTGAGAAAAAAATGATCAAAATTTTATATCTGTACAATGTTGCATGACCACGCAATTGTCAATCAAAGTGCGGCAGCACTGAAAGCTGAAAATTGGCCTGGTAAATAAGGGGGTATAAGTGCCTGGTAGGCAAGTGGTTAAGCAAGACTTTTTTTTCCATTTGGACAGAGCAGAGAGTGGTTACAACCCCTGTCAACATTTGAATTGCAGTCTGCTGTGTAAAACAGATTTTGTTGTTGGGTAGGTATGGGGCTTCCATTACAAGCTGCCTGCTGAAAAATGCTGAGCTATTGACTTCAGTTCTTTTCAGTAACATACCCAGAATGAGTATGCTATACAGTGTCAGAACTACTTGTTTCTTTACTTTTTCTGGCTCAGGGATGTAAGCAGCACTGAAATGTAACTTTAGAATGTCCACATTATAGAAGGAAGGGTTGGCACTAGGGGCAGACTGACCATTTGGAAACTTGGGCACTGCCCGAGGGCCTGGGGTCAGTAGGGGGCCCCATGAGATGCCCCTGGTACCTTTTTCATAGGCTTTTTTGAGTTTGGGCAAGGACACAGGGGCCCCATGAACCCCTATTGCCCGGGGGCACCTTGAGTTGTCAGTCCACCCCTGGTTGGCACTGACAACCTCTATTGATCTTTCTTGACAGATTCCCTTTTAAATTGGACATTTGATGTTCTGCAGTACCAATTGTCATATTGGAATGTGGCGTATGAGTTGGGGATCTTTGCATCACAGTTTGTATACCCTCCTCATTTTGTTAATATGCTAACATTCTTTAAATTGCTTCAAGTGGACCTTGCACTATATATATTGTCCATGGTTTTTGCCTTTGCTCCCCCTCCCCCTTGCTTAATGGCCATAAAGTGTTATTAAAATACCTGTAGAGGGGGAAAAAAGATCTCCTACTTGCCTTTCCTTGAGCTTCTGTATTGCAAGGGGTAGGGATATCACCTTTTGAGGTCCAAGGGAATGCTGAGAACTCCAAATCCCACAAGTAGATGTTGTAGCACAATGCTGGACATGCCTTTCATTAAGATTTGGAGTACTCTGCATTCCAGAAATCTCACCAGGGTCGGGCTTGGCAAAACTACGACTGCTCTTAGCCCTTCCTTTTATAGGACCAGCAGATTTGAGACCCTAGAAGAGAGGTATAGCGACTCTCCTTATACCAGGTTTTACAAAACTTGGTGGAGGCAGAATCATTTTTTTGAGGTGGGGGGGGGGTGCTCCTTAGAGGAGGGAAACCCATGATAACAGCGGTGTATGTGGATCTGGTTGAATTCTTGGCTGCTGCCTATCTGGTTACGATAAGAAGATTGCTCATCAGAAGGCACAATCCTATATGTGTGGTTAGGAGCACCAAAAGAGAAACTGTTCTGTTTGGAGGTTTGTTTGAATTGTTTGAACAGAAATGTCACATACAGCCAACATGTTTCAAGGGAACGCCCCCCCCCTCCCCCTTACTTGGGGCTTGATCTGTTATAGTGTTTGGACTGGCTGTCATCAAATCTTGATTTCAGTGAGAGCAACTGATTAGTCATATATATTTTTTTAAGTTGACTGTGGGCTTTACAGCCACCTGATCACTTCCACCTGAGTAATATATTGTGTTTGTGTGCACTAAAATTAACTGTATTTTTTTAATAAAAATTTGTTGATAATCATGCACTAATATCATCTGATATAAAAGATGGCAACTACCACCATTTTATTCTCCGAGTGTTTTTTTACTTTTTAGAAAATATACAATGTTTGCAGGCTTTAACTAATCTTATGGCCTAAAATGAGCATTTTAACATGTGAGCAAAAACTGAAACAAATGGTTCCAGTAGCAGAGTGGTTAAAGTTATTTGCTTAAAGCTATTTGCTACCTGCATGAGGCACTATAGTCAAGGAATCCCGCCCATCCCGCTTCTGGGCCCTATAGTGGTCAAAGGGTCTGCTGGGGCTATAGTTGGTTGTGGCCAGCTCAATAGATTGCTTTAAAAAAAGGCCTGGATCCTTTCCTAGATACAGTACACAGAATTTAACTGGTTTCTAATAGGTATAGTTGTTCCAGGGAATATCCGATTGCCTCTTGAGGGATCAGGAAGGATTTTTATCCCCTGCAGGAGCGAATTAGTCCATGCTTTGCTGGGTTTTTTGCCTTCCCCTGGATCAACTGTGGGTACAGGATTATAACTTTTTTTTGTTGTTGTTTGAACTGGATGGACTTTTGTCTTTTTTCAGCCAGACTAATTATGTAACCAGTGGATGTCCCCGGGGGGGTGCCCAGCTACAACCAAGTGGGTGGTTGCATTAGTTTTCTTTTTTTTTCTTTTCATGTGGTAATTCTATGAACCACATACTTCCTGTCTCAGGATGGCTACGTATACTCCTCAACTGTATCTATGGAAGGAGCTGTGGTTGCCACCCAGGCTGGACTTCAAACATGTCTTCATTCATCTTCATTACATGGAGGTTAAAGGGATTATTATTTTATTTCTTATAATTTATTGCAGGTACTTATTTAGTGCCATCAATTTACGCAGCGCGCGTATATATATATATATATAGTGCATTCACATCAGTCCCTAACCCTCAAGGGGCGTACAATCTAAGGTCCCTAACTCAGTGTTTCTCAACCATTTTTCAGTCACGGCACCCTTTAAAATGATGGACAGTCTTGAGGCACCTCATTCTAAAATACTGAAAAACTGTTCTGATAGTTTTATATAACGCAGCAACATCCACGCATGTAGGACACCCAACATAAGAGGTGATTTATTCTTACAAAGCACATACACTTTTGCACACTAGTACTGACTACTATTCCATTGTTTCTCTTCTCCCTCAGTTTTTCTCCATCACTGAGCTGATGTGACCCCAGCACTGATGGAGAGGGGCAGGGGAGGGTCAAACTAGGATGCTGTGCAGGCAGCTAACATCCTCCTTATCAACTGATGATGTCATTGGTTGTCAGGACGTCGGCGGCTAGAGGGCCATAATGGTGCACAAAGAAAACCTCTGGCTTTGTGTAACTGAATGGCAGGCTTGTTCCACCGCTGGCTTCTATACAAGGTTTGCACAATTTGTAGACATTTTGCCAAGGTACCCCAGGGTGCCTGGGCACCCTGGTTGAGAAAGGCTGCCCTAACTTACATTCATACACATACTAGGGCCAATTTAGACAGGAACCAATTAGCCTACCAGCATGTCTTTGGAGTGTAGGAGGAAACCGGAGTACCCGGAGGAAGTAGCAGGCACAGGGTGAACATACAAACTCCAGGCAGGCGGTGCCGTGGTTGGGATTCAAACAGACGACCCTAGTACTGCCAGGCGGAAGTGCTAACCATTTAGTCACTGTGTTGCCATGGGTTAGTAGTTTAGCGAACAAAGATAAGATCTTACTTTCAGTATAACTCACAGGTAGTGACAAGGACCCTGGATTTCTTGTAAAATCAAGCTATTTTATGTAGTTACTGAAAATCTTCTTGACATGATAAAACTAAAACAGTCACCACATCACCAAGGACTGGTTAGCTGCAATATATTAACTTTTTGTTTTGGGATTTCATTATCCTTGAATTTGTCTTTGCCTAAATACCAGGTAGATGTAACTTCTATGACTTTGGTGCCTGCACACACTGTTGGGCCATGTGCATGTGCGCACACCTTGGGGGGAATAGAGCAAACGATTCCTCATTATGACAGACATTAGCCAAAAATAGGCCAGACCCATCAGATGAGCATCAACATTTCATCAATCTCATAAGAAAATGTATTAGCCTGACAAACTCTGGCTATGACTTTCAAAAACAAAACTCCTTCAAACTTTGTCAGCTCCTCCACTGAAAATGTATAGCGGAGTAATTCGAGGGAAACCATTATTGTTAACATTCTCATGGCATTTCAAATAATTACTTTTTAATAAAAAGTAATTAAATTGTATAATGGGAAAAAAAACGTAGGGGTCGTAAAGCTGTCTCAGAAGGAGTAGATCACTACTAGACACCTCATCGTCGTTATTTGAACTAAATCTGACCTAAACATAGCCAAATCTGAGATATACAGTACATGGAGCTTGGGCGCGCTCATCATGCGTACATGCCAGTGCCTGGCATTGGCACCAATTCATGAAAACATAGTACAAGTAATTTTTTTTATTTTTGTATGTTAAAGCAGTATTAAACCCAAAGCAAATATTTATTATATTGCAGCTTACCAGTTCACAGATGTGATGGCTGCATTCATTTTTATTTTTTAAGGCTGTGACAGGAGTCACTTTGGGTGGGGGGCCCATGGAACACAGCCCCCTTTGGAAAGGTGGGGAGACCCCTGACTCAGCTCCCCATATCCCTATTATGTGTAAGTCACCCTGTGCCTGTTGGGGGTACAGGGTAGAATGTCCTGATATTATGTATAGGTGGGGTGTGGGGGTTGTTCATTGTTTACTGCCATGTGGAGTATCCCATTGTTTTATTGTGTGTCTGGCTTGGGAGCAAACTATTATGGGATGTATCTGTTTGTGTATTGGCTTGGTGGGGGGTGTCTGCTGACGTCTCTGGTTGCTAGATTTGGTTTGCCATGCCCTGTGTCCATATGCAGGGGGGGGGGGGTTGTTCCCTTGAATATATATATCTTGTATCTGTGTTAAAATAAAGCAGTCTATTTCCTGTTTTAATACAAGTCTGGTGCTGTTTTGTCTTGTATGGTCAGCAGTGGTGTCCGTGGATCTGTGTTCGGACAGGGAAGTGGGAGTCTAACGGAAATACCCTAGTGCAGTCGGGGTCTGGTTCCGTTACAAAGGCTTTCTTCTATTTTCACTGGGCAATCCAGCCAGCAAGTCTGTTGTTTTTGTTTCCAAAAGAGTAAGCTCTCTTGCAGCTGAATTAGTTACAGGGATTAGACAAACCATTTACCACCGACAGGGGTGCTTTATGTAAAACATTTTATCCCAAAAGGCAAAAAAAAAAAGAAAAGATTGCTGTAACTGCTTATAAAGTGTTAGCTGGAGTTCAGGTTCAGTTTATTAGTGTATTTAAATCTGCTAGTCCATCTAACACTCCTGTCCCCCCAGACTGAAAATGCTGATGTCCAAAGGCACTCCCTGTGCTCCTCCATCCAGAGTGGGGACACTCTAATACAGGAGGTGTGTTACTAGCCATATTATCAGGTGAAAACAGAGAGGAAAAAAGCCTCAAAAACCAATGCAGCCATCACATGGAGCCTTGGTTCTAAAGGCTCAAGGTTTTTTTTTTTTTAACCTGCATACATTCTATGCGTGAAGGTAAAAAACCTACTGTGTGCAGCATCCCCCCCAGCCCCCCCCTAATACTCACCTAAGCTCCCCCTCAATCCGGCTGTGTGCACTGGAGTTTCGACTATCTCAGGACTCCCTCTTCTCATTGGCAGCGACAGAAGCAGGAGCCATTGGCTCCCACCGTTGTCAGTCATAGCCAGTGAACCAATGAGAAGAAAGGTGGCACGGCTGAGCTGCAGCTCCGTCTGTGAATGGACACACGGAGCAGCGGGTGCCCCATAGCAAACTGCTTGCTGTGGGGGCACCCGACAGGAGGGAGGGGCCAGGAGCACAGGTGGAGGACCCGAGAAGAGGAGGATCCAGGCTCCTCTGTG